GTCTCCGATTTCAGGAGGGGCCTTTGTCTCAGTGCTTCGAGCTCCTATTGATCTCATCACATCAGGAATATCGGGCTAATCGAGGAGACAGGTGCGGCAATTGAGTTCATTCCTGGGTAGACGAAGCGATTCATCAGGACGACATTCTGATACGCTTCAATTTGCGTCTCTTGAAAGTCGTTCATCCTCCAGTCCATATGGATATGCGCTCTATTCCCCATCAGGAGGAAATTCAGCAGCAACCAACAAGCACCTCTTATCCTTTATCCAATCTCACAAGACATAGCTCAACAATTGCAGCACCATGCTACACGTTCAATGCAACAAGCCGCAACAGTCATACCTCCCTTCGAATCAGAACCAACAAGGGCTCGTTCTCCGATTTCTCCACAACGAACATTTTCTATGGAGCAAGCGATGGATATCACTTGGTTTAACTCCGTTATTGGGAATCAATCACTTCTCGAATTTGCGATTCAACTCTCACTTGGAAACACTGGAGTGACAAATCGATAAACAAAATGGCTGGCCACATTAACACCAGAAGAATTCTATCGAGTGTGCTTAGACACACCGATTCAAGCGTTTCATAAAGCTTGCGATGCAGCCTCACCACAACGCACTTAACACGACTTAATAAGTTTACAAAATAAGTTTACAAACAATACGTTTTTTAGAACTAGATCTACTTTAAGCTTTTGAAGACTAAAGGACTGATCTGTGACAGGAGGGGTTCCTTTTATCGCACTCATTCATGGGAGAATACCCTCACATCAGTTTGTGAACGCATATCAGTTTCAACGCCCATGGCCTTCCGACTTCCATCCTCTGTTTCCGGGCTTGCTCAGACGGTCACTCAAGTCGTTACAGGGAGGGGTGGAGATGCTCGGTATTTCCACTCAAGCAAGAAAGGGGAGGTGAGTTTAAGCAATAGGAAAAGTTGTAAAACGCGTTTTAACAGATACATGAATTGAAGGAGGAGCTTCACTCGGCGAATAAAGAAAAAAAGAAAGAGGCCGTCAAGAAAGTGATTGCCGCTATGACAATTGGGAAGGATGTTTCAGGCTTGTTTCCAGATGTTGTCAATTGTATGCAGGTGAAAGCATCTATGGTTTGGCAGGATTTGGAGGGTCTTTGTTTCAGACAACGAATATTGAATTGAAGAAGCTTGTTTATCTTTACGTTATCAACTACGCGAAAGTTCAACCGGAGCTCGCGATCTTGGCCATAAACACATTCAGAAAGGACAGCATGGATACCAACCCACTGATCCGTGCTTTAGCGGTTCGCACAATGGGTTGCATTCGACTCGAACAAGTTGTTGAGTATCTTGTCGAACCGTTAAGAAAGTAGGAAGAAGACTTTGATGAAAATGTCTTCGAATCGTCTGTCTTGGTAGAGCTTGCAAGGATCCTGATCCTTATGTCCGCAAAACTGCGGCGACTTGCATTTGTAAACTGTATGAGACGTCTCCTGAGACCGTCGAAGATCAAGGATTTCTAGACATTTTGAATGATATGCTCTCGGACACAAATCCAACGGTCGTCGCTAACGCTGTAGCGTCCCTCGCTGAAATCTCTCAGGCTTCTGGAAAGGATCATTTGGGTGAGCCGCACTCACAACGAGGGTGTTCTGTTTCTCGTGCAATTGAAAGTTTTTCTCTTTTCAGGACTGAACGAAGAGACAGTTTCGCGACTATTAACGGCATTGGGAGAATGCTCTGAATGGGGCCAGGTTTTTATTCTCGACGCCCTCACCTCTTACAATCCGTCAAACTCTACTGTGGCAGCCTCAGTCCTTGAGCGAGTTACCGCAAGGCTGAGCCACGCGAATGCAGCGGTTGTTCTCTCAACAATCCGTTTGATTCTCCGAATGCTTGATGTGGTTGATGATGCGCAATTGGTTCGTGTAACACACAAGAAGCTCGGACCTCCTTTGGGTGAGCAGCGCATTGTTTTAGGTCTGGTTGTATGTTGCATTTCTCTCAGTCACCCTTCTTTCTGCTGAAAGTGAAGTTCAATATGTTGCTTTGCGTAACATTTCATTAATTGTTCAAAAATATCCAGGAATCCTATCGAACGAGGTGAAGGTGAGCAGTTTGTTTGAATGTCTAAGAAGATGAATAGTTGAAGAAATCAATCATTATTAAAGTCTCTAAGCAGACCTGCAAATGTCAAATCGTTACGATTCTCGTTGTTCCCAGATGTTCTTTTGCAAATACAACGACCCACATTACGTTAAAATGGAGAAGCTCGAAATTCTGATTCGATTAGTCAATGAAAAAAATATCGATCAGGTGTTGATGGAATTGAAGGAATATGCAACAGAAGTGGATGTTGAATTCGTGAGACGAACAATTCGAGCGATCGGAAGATGCGCAATAAAGCTGGAGAAGGCGGCAGAAAAGTAATTAATGGCGGTTTTAAACTTTCGCTATTTTGTTTTCATTGTCAGATGCATTGCGGTCTTGCTGAACTTGATAGAAACGCGGGTGAATTACGTCGTGCAAGAAACCATTGTCGTCATTAAAGACATTTTCCGGTGAGTGGAGATTCAGACATGGAAACAATTGGAGAACTTTTTTTTAGAAAATATCCGAATCGGTATGAAAGCGTTTATTTCAAAATTGTGCGAAAATTTGGAGTCGCTGGATGAATCGGAAGCAAAAGCTTCGATGATTTGGATAATCGGTGAATATGCCGAACGCATCGACAATGCTGATGAACTTCTGGAATCGTTTGTTGAAGGATTTCTTGACGAATCCGTCGCAGTGAAGCAACAGGTAATGAGAATCCAATGTTGGGTTTACGGAACAGCAAGTGGTTGCAAGTTCTTTGTTTTTAGATTTTAACAGCAACAGTGAAATTATTCCTCAAAATCCAAGTCGTGCCCAAGATTTAGTGACATCTGTATTAAAATTAGCAACAGAATCCTCTGATGACCCAGATCTTCGGGATCGAGGGTTCATCTATTGGCGATTGCTCTCCACCGATCCCGAAGCAACGAAGCGCGTCGTTCTGTCGGACAAACCAATTATCACTGACGACTCATTTTCTCTCGATCCTGAGGTGCTTGATAGGTAATCAATTGGCTCTTTATTCGTGATTCACTTCTGAGCTTTCAGATTGGTGGATAACATTTCGACCCTCGCTTCTGTGTTCCATCGGGTACCTGAATCGTTCGTTACAACGCCTGCGCGCTACTGAAGGACTATCGGATGAAAGTTGCGCCTCTGATGAAGAAGGGCATGCAGATACCAAAGACATCCGAGATGCCATGCGTAATGCGACCAATTATGAAAGTGGAGGAGAGGAAGAGGTAAGAGACGATGGCACGCTATTCATGACTGTTCCTCTTCTAGTCCGGAGAATCCTCTTCTTCGAGTCCTGATGATCTTCTTGATTTGGACGAAGACTCGGACGATGAAAGTTCGGAGGAGAAGGAGGATCGACCACGGAGTCGTTCAGTCCCACCTCCATCTGAATGGGCAATCCTTCTTTCTCCTGAAGCAGTTGGGACAGGAGGACGAAAAGGAGTAGGAATCAAGGGAGTGATCTACAAACATAAAGGTAATGATCTTTGGTTGAGTCTTTCATGATGACTTTTTGTCAGGCCGTGTGTATCTCCACATCGGCATTGTTAATACCTCATCAGAGACTTTAGTCGGGAATGTGTTTGCTCTTCTTATCAATAAGAACTCATTCGGGTTTTCGCCCCATTCTTCTTTGGAGCTTCAAGACGTCCAACCAGGACAACAGACTGAAACTTCAATTCTTTTGGATCCAGGAGTCAACCTGTCCAACACCGCCCCTTCACACCCTTTGGTGCTACAAGTACGATGAAATTCGGCCAAGATCTCCCTCACTTGTTTGTTTTCAGGTTGCTATTAAAACGTCTCTTGATGTGTTCTATCTCCAACCCGTTCCATTCAGTGGGGGGATTCTGATCGCTGATCGTGATCCTGTTGACAAGGACGTGTTCCGTAATCATTGGACAAGAATGGGAGAAGCGAAACAGGTCAGAGACAATACAGACAATCTTGTATGGAGAACTTTTAACCCCAAAATTGTACGACGCGTTTTAGGCTGCTTTTATGGGACTTTTCAATGAGGAAATGACCAGCGGAAAGGTGGCCGCATGGTTGGAGAATCATGATGTACATACAGTCGTCATGCGACAGCAAAATACTTTCGTGAGCTTTTCGAGAATGTGAAGTGGAAGAGCAGTTAGCCATGTGTAGAGGGTGGCGGTTTACAAGTGCTCCATATTTGGTTCTTTTCCAGGACTCTCTCTACTGTTCCGCTGTGACAATCAATAGCCTGTTGTTGCTCTTTGAAATTGCTGTTCAAAAATCTGGACGAGGCGTGAAGGTCACGATGAGATCGGATGCCCTTCAAATGGTGAGTTCGCGGATGTTTCTTCATCTCATGCCTGGTGTTCTGGCAGTTCCCAATTCTTAAGCAATTTTTCATTGAAGTTCTCAAAATTCAATCTCGAACTTGATCAATTTCTGCCTTTTTCGAGAATTCTTTTTTGTGCGGAGTTGTGAAGTATCGGGAGGAGGTTGTTACACAGTTAGAGGTCTGACCATTTTAGACAAGGACTGATGCAACAATACGAGAAGGCTGGCGATGAGATCAATGAGCATTTGCATGAAGACAAATGGTTTTAAGAATTGAGTTGATTTCGGCCGTTGTTTAATTGGTCTTTTACATTGTTTCCATAACTGAGATGTAAATTGTTGGTTGCTCCTGGCATTACCGTGGCTGAGAGTGCTCCAGTTAGCGTGATTTTGTTGGTCCAGTGGTTGTCGAAACAGCTTCATTCAGGTCTGTAAGTCCGCACCCCCGATAAGACTACACTGATAAATCAATCTGCTTAACTGAGGGATGACCCACTGGAACGTAGGAACCGTTCTCGCGCCTGCTAAAGTGTCTAGGTCGCGTAGGACTTGAGTGTTAGCCTGCAAAATTGTTCCATGAGTCGTCCCAAAACCGGTCTGAATGTTTCTTCTCCTGTTGACACACTCTTCTTGAACCTAACAAAATGGACAGCGACACCGCCATTCCCCAACACAAACCAAGACACCGAAGCGTGCCTGGCACTCAGACACACCTTCCCCAATTCATTCAAAACAAATAGTCCTCTTCAATAGGTGTCACAGACTCATGGTCCAGCATCAATCTTGAAAGGAGACCTCGACCATGACGCGAAGAAGGCTCCCCAGTCATATTTTAATGAGTTTGCCTTTGGTTGTTCCGTTTTCTCCGGATCAGTTGTCGGTCCAATTGAATGCTTCTGAAGTCGGAGGGGCAATTCAATCTTCTGAAGTCGGAGGCGCAATTGAATCTTCTGAAGTCGGAGGCGCAATTGAATCTTCTCGTAAAGTCGGAGTAGGAATTGCATTTCCGAGAGCGTCTCTCATCTTCCCTTCAGATTTACAGCAAAATGTTTAAAACCCTGTGGTCCAAAGTTCAAGAATTGGCTAAAGAGCACGGCGAAGATGCTGAGATACAGAAGGTTCTCAAAGTAAAGACTTTCCTCGTTTCATGTGGTTGTAACCTTTTGCTCTTCAGGAGTGTATGGAGTCTCTGAAGAAGAAATGGGAAATCTTTGTAATTGATCTTCGACCATACAGAACTGAATGACTCTTCTTTTTCAGCATAAAGCCAAGCAGAACAAGAAGACTTACATGGTAGCGCGATAACTAATAAATAAAGCTGTCGTACACTGACTTTCTGCAGCCATTGTATTACACGAATCGGTTCCACACCTTTGAGGATGACAAGGTAAGAAGATAGAACTTCTGTTTATTGTTTGATCTTTCTGTTTTTCTAAAGTTGATCTGTTCCCGTTGCAGTTTTACCTGCCTCGAATGTTTATTCATATTATTCGAGAAGAAACTGATCCCGAAAAAAAAAGAAGAGTTTCGTCAGGTTTGCTGAACCGGGTGACGCAGCTGTCCATCACTCCTTCCCATAGAGAGGATTGCAGGCCTCACATGATTCCACCTCGTACCGCGAGCACCTTACAAGATTATTTCCAGAAGTTTTCGGTCCGGTACGTCTCTGTTATTTATCCACTCTGTTGATTACTCAGTTACATCATTGTATGCGTCCTTCCAGATCATGGGCAAGCCCTTTTCACCCCTTGCTGTAGGTACCTGCTGATAAACGAGGGACGTCTGATTTTCCCAAGAACTTCTTGTTTAATGTATGCTGCTAGAAAGACCATTGCACATTCCCTAACTTCATCTTGTTCCCAGCGATTTGTGGAAAATGGGGTACGGCGCGGTAGAGTGAACTCCGATGTCGTAGCCCCCCCATTCCTTTCTCCAGTACCGCAAGGAAGCCAAGAAGTGTGTCGAAACAGCGCCAGTCATCCAGGCATGTGACCATGACGAGATCGTCCGTCCAGATCATCGAGCCACAGTGAAACAAGTACTACATCAAGCTATAGAGAAAAACAGTGCCGCCGGAAGTTCAACGCACAGTGGAAACAGTGCCAGGCGCCAAGTTACATCGAGCCACAGTGAAACAAGTACTACATCAAGCTATAGAGAAAACAGTGCCGCCGGAAGTTCAACGCACAGTGGAAACAGTGCCAGGCGCCAAGTTACATCGAGCCACAGTGAAACAAGTACTACATCAAGCTATAGAGGAAAACAGTGCCGCCGGAAGTTCAACGCACAGTGGAAACAGTGCCAGGCGCCAAGTTACATCGAGCCACAGTGAAACAAGTACTACATCAAGCTATAGAGAAAACAGTGCCGCCGGAAGTTCAACGCACAGTGGAAACAGTGCCAGGCGCCAAGTTACATCGAGCCACAGTGAAACAAGTGCTACATCAAGCTATAGAGAAAAACAGTGCCGCCGGAAGTTCAACGCACAGTGGAAACAGTGCCAGGCGCCAAGTTACATCGAGCCACAGTGAAACAAGTGCTACATCAAGCTATAGAGAAAACAGTGCCGCCGGAAGTTCAACACACAGTGGAAACAGTGCCAGGCGCCAAGTTACATCGAGCCACAGTGAAACAAGTACTACATCAAGCTATAGAGAAAACAGTGCCGCCGGAAGTTCAACGCACAGTGCAAACAGTGCCAGGCGCCAAGTTACATCGAGCCACAGTGAAACAAGTGCTGCATCAAGCTATAGAGAAAACAGTGCCGCCGGAAGTTCAACGCACAGTGGAAACAGTGCCAGGCGCCAAGTTACATCGAGCCACAGTGAAACAAGTGCTACATCAAGCTATAGAGAAAACAGTGCCGCCGGAAGTTCAACGCACAGTGGAAACAGTGCCAGGCGCCAAGTTACATCGAGCCACAGTGAAACAAGTGCTACATCAAGCTATAGAGAAAACAGTGCCGCCGGAAGTTCAACGCACAGTGGAAACAGTGCCAGGCGCCAAGTTACATCGAGCCACAGTAGAAACAGTGCCAGGTGGGAAGATACCAACAGGGCCGAGCTTCAAGGGTGCTTCCACCGCGCAAACAGCGCCAAGCGGTGAGATACATCACTCCACAGCCGCTGGGCGCAGTATGCAGCTGGAAGAGGTACCAACAGTGGCAGGCGTCGATAACTCGACAAGTATCAAGGTACCACCGCTGGCACCAACACTGTTAGGCGGCAGGGTGAATCACTCAACGGTCTGGTCTGAACAAAACTGCAACTACGAAGGCAATCCTCGACCATCAACGGCTTCTAGATCCAGAAAGAAAAGAGTGCGAATGCGGCGACGCCTCTCGTCAGGACGGCATCTCCCGTCAAGACGACACATACTTCGCTGTTTTGCTCGATCCATTTCTTCGCGCTTGGAAGATTCTCGCAGGCTTCACTTGCAAGATTTGACGAATTGCATGAATAAACTCGCACCAAGACTGGAGGGCCGGGACGAACTTATCAAATACCTTATGAAACAGAAAAAGGATTTTCAGAGGCTTTTCAAGCGAAAAAGACTTTCAAATGTAGGGAGCAGTGAATACAAGAAGACGAACAAGGAGATCCTCAGAAGAATCATTAAACCCTTGAAAAAGCTGATTCACCGCAAACAGATGTCTGTCTCCAATATTCAGAAATGTATGAAGTTGAAAGCAAGAAAAAGGAAGCCTCGGCGCAGAGCAGCGAGGCAGACCCAATTGTTGAGTTAGCTTGGAGATCTACTCTGCTGATGGTGATGTCGATCAAATCGTTTCAGGGACAGCGAAAACGCGGGAGCGATGGTACAAAACGTGAAGACCCTGACTGAATTCTCGTGGTTTTTTGTGCATTTTTTCGTTTTTTTTTCTTTGTCTTCTTTTTCTTCGTTTCTTTCCATAAAATACTGATGGACGATTCAATCACAACGTTTTAAAAAGCCTTTAATTTGACGGCAGGCAGATGTGAAAATTGAGAAACAAGAAAAAGCCATCCACCGTGCTTGTCTTCAAGATGGGATAAAAGTGACTAATCACAACCAACCGTGCTCTCACAGATCACTCCGGTTGATTATTGCTCTCTTGGCACACATGTTCTTAAAAACAAACAGGACGGCAAATTCTTCTACTGATCAGAAGAATGCAGTCCCATATAGGCTTATCGTCGATTTTCCGTCCGTGAAGTGGTTGTTGGTCGATAATGGTCTCAGATTCTTACTCCTCATTTGCTCGAAAGGAAGTGGGGGGGGATGAAGGTATTTGGATATTTGATTCACAGACAGAATGGAGCATCACAGATAGCTAATGAGATCAAATGAAAGAAATGAGCATTCTAGAAGACAATTGAATGAGAAGACAATTCAATCGTCATTACCAGAGATTAAGGACACTTTTCGAGGATTTTTTATAGGGTGGCTATGCTATCAGGAAAATCTCAGGTCCGGTATGCTCAAGAAAACTGAAGGGACGGTTTCGCGTGGCTTGAAGTTCGCGACTCGATTCCTCTTTCCGGGGAAGAATGAACAGATCTCGCGTCCGACTAAATTGGGTTGGAACGGGAAGGAAGAGTGGCAGCCATTTACGATCAGTTTCCATGAAGCCCCTGCCAAATTCCGATCACGCCCAAATGATCCATTAACGATTTCAGGGCGACCGACAACACAGCGGCAGGAAATGGAGGTCATTGTCGCAACTAACGGAGAGGTGGTTTACGTCACGAGGCATGAGTATCATTTGTTATGCAACGTGCATTCAACTGATGAACCACTAGATCCATTTGCTGATATATTGAATTGGTTGGGAGTGTGGAAAACAAATGAACAACAAAATGCACAAGACGAACAACAAAATGAACGGCAGAATGAGAAATCGCAATTGCAATTATTGTCGGCAACTAACAGGTTAACGCAGCTCTATCATGACAAGCCTGGTGCATTACGCGTGGGGATTCTTGTCGGCTTTAAAGCTCTTCTCGAAGAACGTGCTCGACAATGCAGTCCAATGGATTGTTCCTTCATTGAAGATCCTTTGAATAAATCGCCAGCCAAGGAGTTGAGATCATCTGAAGCTGTGACATACTTGCAATGCATGAAACGAATGCGTGCTGTTCATCCTCTACTACTCAAATTCTGTATGAATAAGCTTGTTCGAGATGTAAGACAACTAAGGCCTGAGGTTTGGTCAAATGAAGGCCGCTGTTCCGCTCCCTCTGATTTGAACATGATGTCGCGAGCCGCTAGTTCAATTTTAAGCTTACGCCTTCAATCCCCGTGTGTCACTTCTTATCTCGAGATTTTAGTCAACAAAATCGCCCGTCTTGACGAGATCAACTCAACAGACACAAGCACGCTTCTCGACACAGTGCTCTCTCGGTATCCCGCCCAGATCATTACAGTTTTATGGGCAGCAGTGATGAGGAGAGTGACATCACCATCAGAAACCATACCGAATTGGGAGACACTTGTGATGCTGATTCTGAAGGTGTTCAGACAGCAGGAACAATGCGTCACTGAAACACTGACGCGCCTCTCTGATTGGGAAGACAAATCGAAAAGGCCCGACGAAACTCAGCATGCGTGTAAGGCTGGCCAGGCGCAATTTGTTATCTCCACGGTCTTCACGAGGCACGAGCTGAAGCTATATCAGGTGCGCTTGTCCTTCTTTTTCCAACTGAAATTGGTTTCTTGCGTAGATTCTGACGACGTTGTTAATCTGCGCGCCAGAAGTTCTTGGTGAGCTTGATAGTGAAGTGACGGAAAAAATTCGGTCAATCGGAAAGATTGCAACTCTTGGCGCGACACTTACTGCAAGCCAAACCTCTATATGTCGAATTTTGTGGGATGAATATCGCTTGCCGGTAATGAAGGAACACGCACTTGATGCTCACCAAGGCGTCGTCGTTGATGTTGCGCTGCAACAGTTAGACGAAGAAGGCAAATCGAAAATAGTTGATGCCGTTGTTGGGACGCGTCCCCTTGAACCTGCTTTACGGCTGCCGGAACTGGTAATGATAGATCCTTGATGTTCTTCAACGTTGAGTCTCTTTGATAGGATAACTTCATTAAGAATGAACTGCAAATCCCTTTCACAACAACTTGTGAGCGTGTGGCTCTTGAAGTCGACGGAAGTTACCATTACGTCCACAACCTGGCCGCTCTTCAGACGGACAAGGGGAATCGATACGTCAGCGACTCCCTAAAGCTTGATACTCCTAAGCACATTCTGGGACCACGGGGAACTCCGCCTGCACCAATGGAGTTCCATGCTCCATTTCTTCCTCCTGGCGATAGTTACGTTAATGGCACAACCTTCTGGAAGGAGCGGGTTCTTCGACTGAGCGATTGGTATTTTTTTGCAATTCCAGTATTCAATTATAGAAGATGGGAGTCTAAAGGACGCATCAACCAATCTCTAATGGATTTAATTCCAATTAAGTGGGATAATTGGAAAAACACAATTCAGAAATTGAAAAGATTAGGCGAAGCAGAAAGAAGTAAACAAAAGTAAGGAAAACACAATTTTGCACAACAAATATTTGGATGAATCTTCGGAGCTTGTTCGGGAGAAGACAAGCAGCGAAGCCTCAATTACTACTCTTAAAGCATAAGCATCCCGATGGCGACACTTTTTCTGCCTTGCCACCAAGTGGTGCTGCCTTCTTCATTTTTGAAAAATCACCCTCCCAAACAATTTCACCCGCCCACGGAGCCTTTGACTCATGAAGTTCTAACCAAAACTCAATAAATCAAATAATAAATTGACCCTACCATTAAATATAGGTCTGAATAACTTATTCACGCTTTCCTGGTTTGTTGCATCCACTTCAAAATATCGAAAATCTAAACACAAACAGCGTTGGGCTATTGCTGAAAGAGCCGCAGCGTCGTTACCGTTCTCCTCTGCGAATTCTTCCGCTTCTTCGGTGGGCGTAGAACGATATATGGAACCGTTTTCAACGAGATCATTTTTCACAGCGACCAATAATCTAATAGCTCCAGGGCAACGCTCGTCCACTTCTTCAGCCCACTTTGGAACATGCAAATACGATTCTGGCAAAAGTGAATTGAGACAAACCCGATCGATTCTTCGTACCTCTCACAGAGGGATCGAAGCAAAAGACGATGACTGCCATTCGGGAACAATGATTGGCGCTGGCGTTGTCCTTCAAAGAACCACCCGGAGTGTCCCAAGCCATCAGTTTCACGGGACTTCCATTTGCACTTGAATAACGTTTCTCGGCAAATTGAGTAGCAATTGTTTTTCCCGCATATTTTGGGGGCATTTGCGTCAGAAGTCGTTGACAGAGTTCAGTTTTGCCACATCCGCTGTCTCCAACGAAGCAAACTGCACAAAAATAAAAAATGGATGAGTTTAAGAATGGCCATACAGATTATTCCGCCAAGTTTTGGCTTACATCGGTACCGCAGATCGATTTGTGCCTCATTTTTATCAACAACGTTCGGCTGTTGTCTTTCAGGCATCGCCTCAGACTGAATAAAATTAAGTTGAAAAAATTGTGTTAAGCGAAGTTAAATTCTTAACGACGCTTTACGAAATTGAGCAGAATCAGGTCCCTTCCAATACCATCGTCGGACCAGATGTCCCAAAGACCTTCTCGTCGGTTGTTTGAGACTTTTTTAGAGTGCCATGAGTCGCAATTACGGCAAAGCGAGGTCCCAGCACAAGTGAGTCATCGGGAAGCAAGCATGCCCTAAAGTTCGGATCCCAGCCCATTGACTCGAGGAAACAGAACACCGCCCTCACCTCTGTTTTCTCAGTTATGGGACCGCCTTTTTTCCAAACTAGCATCTTTCGTTTTCGATGCGGCCGAGGGATTTCGTTTGGCGCCGCGGAAGACTGCGACATCAAATTCGGTCTTCGAGGTGAGTTTCCTGCGTCGTGCTGTAGTCTGTGGTATTCTTTATTGTTCTGCTTGTAGGTGAAGACAAAACGAGAATTTCATGTCAATTCCGATATATTTGTCTGTCCCCATATTTGGACGTTTAGTTGGGGTGAATGCAGACAACAATTAAGAGAATCACGGGAACTCGTTGCGCGACTCTGCAAGTAGGCGGAACTATCAACTGAAAGATAATTCGAGAATCTTTGGTTTCTTCGTTCTTTCAGACTTCTGGGATTAACGATACCGCAAACGTCCTCGACTGACTCCTTGAATGACGACTATCTGTCATTTCTGGAGGATGTCTTACTTCCCAGAATTGTCCCTTTCTTTAAATCTTACAAAGTCGTTTATGAAAATGGGAAAACAGAAACATTATGGTATCTGTGCGAAGAGGTCAGTTGTTGATCGAATCTTCTTGTTAGAAATCTTCTGTGATATTTGTAGATCATTACATCGCTCGACGTTTTTATTCCCACTGTCACTATGATACCTGCGACTTCCTTCCCTATTGAAACTGTCCACTCCTCTAGTATCCCTCGTGACCCACGTTTGACGGTTGATCCAGCCGACGAACTCTCTACCAATGACGTCGCTGGGTATCAATTTGTTTCCACAGATGATTCCGCTTCGCCGAATGTCTCTCTCGTACCTTTCCTCTATTTTGCGTCAAGCCATGAAGCCCCGCGAGGTTTTTCTCTGTTATGGCCCAATAAACACATTCCCGTGAGTGTCTCCGTCACAGCCGTAACCATAACTCGGCAAGTCTATTTTGCGTTGTTCTCACAGGTCAACACAATCTGTACAAGGTTCCCGTTCCAGTTGCGTACTTGGCCAATGGAAGTACTCCGTTTCAATTGTCCATCTGCTCCACGGAATGATTCACCACACGACGAAATTCAGAGATGGAAGTCAACCGCTTTCCCAAGTGTAGGTTTCTTCATCAAGCAACCCACTCTCTTTTTGCGTTTCAGATTTTCTATACCGCTGAATTTGTGCGATTGTGGCCATTTTTGCTCGATGAAACAAAGTAAATTCTCATTCCTTCCTGTCCTCATTTCTTCTTGTCCTCATTCCTTCTTGTTTTCATTCATTTCTTCTTCTTCTTCCCCAGACAAGCACTCGCCCATATTTATCGTGAAATCTATCGTCGTGCTCTTGATTCTGAGGATGTTCCAATTTCGAATGGTCTGATGCAATGACAGCATTCAAACAATTATCTGGAATTTCTGTTTGTAGAAGAGGAGGATTTTCTGAAGCGAACATCTTTGTTTATTGATTCGACATTCAAACCCTCTTCAACTCACAAAATCACCAAAATCTGGGAGAAAATAAAAAACCGCGTACGTTCCTGCAATCCGTCTTAACTATTAATTTTATTTAATTCTAGGATGGAGCTCTCAAATTCTTTATTGATCAATCCACGACAACGGGCCAAAAATTGCTTTGGTATCTTCGAAAAGACGCGGAAAAATTTCCCTGTCGTCTTGAGTTTGTGGATGTAAGCGCAATTTGTCCTTGTGAGTTATCGTTTTATTTTGTAGTGCATTGAGGATTCTGAGCTCAGTTTATATCAAGGCATGTCCCTGGAAAGTGAGATGAATCTCGAATGTCAACAAGGATATTTATCTAATCGAATTATTGATCGAATTCCCTTTGAACATCATTTTGTTCAAAAACAGAGATTTGCTGGTAGGCATCAATGATGATATTCAAGAAATGATGATTAGATCTTCTGATAACCATCAATGAGATATTCAAGAATTGATTATTAGATATTCTGATGAGCAAATGATGATCAGATATTCTGACGAGTAACTCTATTTCTCTCTTTCGGCTTCTCTTTCACAGATTTTTGTCGGTGAGTCAATTCAAGGTGTCGTATTATTCCAACGAATGGTGCAGACGAACAAATGGAGGTCGATTCCCAACTTGGCACAAGGAATCCTACGATGTCTCCTTCACTTCATCGCAAGGATCACTGTATTTAGGATCCCATCTTGACCATCAAGATTCCATGAAAAAGCAATTTTGGATATTCAAACCATTCAATTCAACACGTTCTATGGATGCTCATATCATCACGAGTCTTAATGAAGGATTAAAATTATCTGAAGATCCAACATATGCAAGAATTGCACAGCGCTACATCGACCCTCCATATTTACTGTCCATTAAGGATCCCATTACTGGGAAGGTGCTTGTCGAAGATGTCAAGAATGATCTCAGGTATGAATATTAGCAAGAAATGATGAATATGGCAAGCGCTGACTTGAATCCTTCGCGTCTGTAAGAAGTTCAATGTGTTTTCAGAGTGTATGTTTTTGTTCGGACATCTAATGATGGCGACAAACTAAAAGTTCAGCTGGGAATCCACGAGTGGTGGGGCTTGCGTTTGGCCATTGAACCGTATTCACTTGGAAAGTAAGAGAACATGTTGTGTACTTTCTGTGATGATTCGTTTTTAGCGTGGACCAGTTTGGCCGTCATTTCACAGTGATGATGTATAACGAGACGGCAAGAGAGTCTTCAGCGTATCTTTCATTGGGAAAGCTTTCAACGCAGCAAGTGTCTCAACAACTGTTTGAGTGAGTGTGGGATCCTACCCGACGATCCCACGCTATTCCTGCAATTTCATTTCTGAGGGATGATTTCGTTTCAGATCACTCACTGCCCGACAACTTGGTATTCATCCGACAACAGACGGTTGGGATAAAGCTGTTCGGTCGGTGGAACAATTACTCAAGAGTGAAGTTCAATCAATCGTGCAAAATCTATTTTCGAAATGCTTCGATCGCTTCGAACGCCAAACTCCTCCGAATTGTTGTGGAATTTACGGGATTGACATCATGCTGGAAGATTTAGGTGAAAAGTCTGCTGGAACGAATATAACCGGTTCGCAACTCGCTGATCTTGGAGTTGCTCCATACATCTTAGAGGTCACACATTACCCAGATATGGTCAGGGCTTTGGACGATACGCGTGGGTTGATTGGGAGGGACATGATGGAGTTTTTCTTGTGTGGAGACGAAATCTCTCACAACAGAGTTAACATTACGAACCTTGAATACCGCGTATTTTAAGCAACAGTTTTGTGATTTTAAGACTTGTTCTGTGGTTTTGATCATTATTATTGTCAGTCTCGTTCTGTGGTTTTGATCATTATTATTGTCAGCAGAGACTACCAGGCCCATCATGCGGTTGTATGCGTCAGTTACACGCCTGGTCCGTTAAAGGCAGGCTTCGCTGCCTTGGTTCGAGTTGGGGAACGGCGGTGTCACTGTCCATTTTGTTAGGGTTCACGAGGGGTTTGTTAACAGGAAAAGAAAACAGACAGACAGACAGACAGACAGACAGATTTTGGGACGACCCATGGAACAGAAAACTTGGGTGAGGAAACAGATCAAACGACGACAAAACACAGTTAAGCAGGCTAACATACAAGTCGCACAGCGGAGTCGACCTACGCGACTAGACACCTTTAGCAGGCGCGAGAACGGTTCCTACTGTCAATTTATTGTTCCAACGCCAACACACAAGTCACACAGCGCAGCTGACATGCCACTTTCAGGCTCGAAAACGGTTCCTGCTGTCAATTTTATTCCAATCGGCAAATTCAAGGGCATCTGGAGAGTACAACAACTGCATGCCGACATGCAGAGGGGCGGAGTCCAGGACCAAAGATTCTGTGTGTACGAGACCCTACGCCGCCATCTGATCATTTTCAATGCCTGTTGCCTGATCACCGCCATCCCCAATTATTTGTCTGAAGAATGGAAGATGTTGTTGTCAATTTGAGGTCACCAAGGCCGGTTCAATCCGCTGATACTTCAGAGGCAAGATCGAATTCTCGCATGTTTCTCAAAACAAGACGAGAAAAGCGGGAGGAAATGAAATCAGAGCGCATCTTGTTCAGTAAAGGCCATCAGGAGCGAGGCCATTACTCAAGAATAGGGTTAAATGGTGAAGAATCTCTAGATCATTTGGTTGATGACACGCAACGCCCTCTTTTGTTTATTGATCCAGTCCACGGAATGAACCGTCTGAATTCAAATGCGTCGTCAGCTGGGTCAATCGAATTGAGGAAAGCTGGAACTAGAGAGCATTTGAAGACAACGACGACTGATGCTGATCTCAGGAAAGACTCCTCAGCAAGTACGGATGAAGTCGTTGAAAGAAAAGGGTCTGGAGATGAAAAATCCAGGGAGGATAAACCAAAGCGGTGGGGTCCTCTCCAAGTAGCTATCGACCAGCCTTACCTCTCTGTGATGCTAATTTTCATCCCTCTTGGAATCGTCTCGTATTTTCTGGATTGGGGTGATACCGTCACGTTCAGTTTGAATTTCATAGCAATTATTCCCCAAGCGTGGCTCATTGGAAAAGCAACTGAGGACCTCGCTTCCCATCTCGGTCAGTCGCAATGAATCAATTTTGAAAATCGTCTTCTCTTATTATTTGTTAGGCCAGGTTTTGGGAGGAATTCTGAATGCCTGGTTTGGAAATATCGTTGAGATGTTGCTCTGTATCGCAGCAATTCGAGCCGGCGAGCTTCTCGTCGTTAAAGCGACTCTTGTTGGTTCCATTCTCTCAAATCTCCTGTTAGTCGCAGGATGTAGTTTCTTGTTCGGCGGTTTCTATCATAAGGTATGCAGATCAGAAAATTCCATGAATCTATTTCAATTTCTTTCTAGGTTCAAGAATTTTCAGCAATTGGTGCATCTACAAACGCTTCATTGATGACTCTTAGCTGTTTATGTCTTGGATTACCGACGCTTTACGGAACCATTCACCCTTCGTCCGTGACGTCCGAGCTCCACATGTCAAGGAGCGTGTCCTTTTTCCTCATTTTCATGTACATCCAGGTGAGTTGAAGTTACAGAAACGCAGTCATGTCTGTTTGCTTCTTTTTAGTACATGGTTTTTCAACTTTACACACATTCATTTTTGTTTGAAGAGGAAGATGAAGAAGAAGATGTTGATTTATCGATCATTTGGGCTTCAGTCATCTTGGGAGTGTGCACTGTTTGCTGTGCAATGAATAGTGAATTCTTGATCGCTTCTATTGAAGGAACTGTGGATAAACTCAACATTAGCAAATCGTTTATCGGGATTATTCTTTTGCCCATCATCGGTAAGATAAATACAATTTGCATTGATAGAACTTTGGATTTCTGTTGCTCGGGATTTCAGGAAATGCAGCTGAACACTACACTTCTGTTATCGTTGCTATGAGGAATAAAATGGATCTCTCGCTTGCTTGTGCCGTTGGAAGCAGTTGCCAGATGGCGCTGTTTGTGACGCCTTTCACTGTTCTAGCGGGTTGGGTTTTTGATGTCCCAATGTCCCTCGACCTTCATGCTTTTGAAATGGCAGTTCTTCTCTTAGCAGTTCTAATAGTTACTAGGTGAGTCTCATAAATTCTATCAGATGCATAGACGGTTGTCCCAAGTATCCTTCAAGATGGATATTCCAATTGGCTGGAAGGATCGATGCTTGTTTCTGCATACCTCGTCATCGGTACGTTTCCTATTCGCTGATCAAAAAACTGAAGATGTGTTTGTAAAGAAGACGGAGATGTCAAGGAATGACATGTTTTCCTTTTTTTGTTTGTAGCTTTGATGTATTTCTTCGAGGATCCGGAAGACAGTGCTTCTCCGACGCTGATTCCATCCGCCACGTAGCCTCAATTTTTCTTCGATCTCTTTTTTGGGTGGCACGACACAGTTTTAATTGGGTACACGCGAACCAAACCTTCTTCTTCAGTCACAATGGTCGTCTTTCTGCTACACTTTAAAGCAACCCTTGAAAATTTAGAAGAGGTCGCCATCGACGCGACGAAAATCACATGGTGTTTCGATTTCCAGGTATTTTGTTGTCGTTTGGTCTTTTTTTGTTGTTGTTTGGTCTTTTTTTTGTTGTTGTTTGGTGTCTCCAGATGACTTTGTGTGTCGTAGGATCCAACAGGACAGGAGACGAAAGAGCGTGTTACCGTAGACCCTGATGAAGTGTTCGGTGTTGATGGAAGCAGAGGCGTAGCAAATGTTATTATCAAATGGCCAGGGGCAAAAAAGCAATCTACGCTTGCTATACAGGAGTTGAAGAAAATAACGCGCCACTCGTATACTGCGGACGATTCTGGAAATTTCGTTCCAGTAATCGGGTTCGAATGTCGAGGATTGGAACCAACTCGCTGCCACACGCCCAACAGTGGATTTTCTGCGAAGGGATTGAGCGGTCGAAAATTCGAAGACATTGATTTGTCTCTCGATGAATGGTGTGACTACGATGAAAAAAAAGAGCTTTCTGTTGGTATTTACGATGTTGAGTGGAAATTTGAGATAAGCCGGTAGAGTCGATTGTCTCACTTCCCAGACGACTGTGAAAACGAAAAAGTCCTTCAGCCTTCAAACTGTACTAAGAGTATCTTTCGGTACTAAAGAGTAGTCCTGCAAAAAATACAGTTGAAGTCGGTGGTGACAATTTCATTTCTTACTCCACTACAAATTTCTACGACAAAAATCGGAATGCGTCCAAGCGACATGACCTCGATTATTCCATGATCCAAAAAATTCGAGTTTGGGAGTTTGGGACATTCCCAAACGAACAATACTGGCGATTGTGGAACATCAGTATGTTTAGAAGAGTCCCACAGTTCGTTGAAGTTGAATTCCCAAGATTTCCACCAATTAGGCAAGCGGCTGCTTCTCAGACGGGCTTCTGGGAGAGATTGTTCCACTGACGGTTTTGTGTCGGTCCCGATCGTGGAAGGATCTTGAATGATAATTGTTGTGTTCGGATGCGAACCGAGTCCCAAACAATCAATGATTCGAGACGTACGCCGTTTGGGTAAAAAATGATCCTAGTAGGTGGGGAAGAACCGAATCGTCGGTATATGGGCATAATGTACGAGAATATCTTCGGGTAACCAGAGACATGAAAGGTGATAGAGATAGACAAGATACTGATTCCCGGTACATTCTCCAGACCTCTTTGTTATGATCGTAACTTCGACTCCAACATTGATCAATGATTGGAGGAAGAGAGGGAAAAGGAACTTCTTTGAAATCCTTCCGTCGCAAAAGCTCGAAGGGTTTATTAACAAGTGGAATCCAAAATGGTCCAAGTGGACGATAATGTAAGGGAAAGAGTAAATCATCTTCCAATACTGTGTATGGAGAGTCGACTAACTGGTACTTTGAAGAGTCTTTGTGGGTCTTTTTAATCGTCCAAATGTCGAGGAAAGGAAAGCGCCACGGCCTTAGAAACGACCCGGGTGCTCTCGACTTCTTCAACCATATTTTTCCGGTGCTTGCTCCTAATGGAAATCTTGAAGCGCCCAGAGTCGGAAAATCTCCGCGCACAATTCGTTCGTATAATCGAATCCAATCATCATCAATCATCCTAATATCAACGTCATCATCCCAACTGATAAAAACAATATGGAAGAATGTCAAAACGCATCAGTCGAAACCGTCATTCCGTTTAAATGACAAATTGCGACTCACGGTATGATGTCCCAATGGCGAACACTTCCTATTGTACTTCCAGCTTCACCAAACCACGTTAAATTCAT